GTATGTGCAAACAGAAATGTATCTGTATGTATATATGTATAAGAGTGTGCGTTAATAACAAAAGAGTTGTTTTCGAATTTATGGTTAAATTTATTGACTTTTACTTTKCTTGTTTGTTGGTTTGCCTATAACTAGCTAACGGCTAAGGATTTACTTATTCGCTTAGGCGCTTGCTTGCCTGGTGTCTTTACTACTACACGTACGAACTAGTCAACTCATATGCGCATACACATATACATATATACATATATAGTATATGTATACATGCCCAACCACAATAATTGTTAATTGCTATTTACTTTCTATTTATCTACTTAATGTACGCCTGCATCTTCATTGCCTACTATGAAGTATTATTTGCATTATTTTTTGTTCGACACAATTGACACAGTGTGTCCGTCCATTTGCTTAATGTTGGGTTTGTTGTTGCTGATGACGACGTCGCTGTTGTTGTTGCGATGACAGTGTTAGCAGTTGACGTTGTTGCAGCAGGTGTTGTAGTTGCTGCTGTAGCTTTTGCCGTTTCAGCCGTTATTGCTGTTGTGACTGCTGGTTGTGTCGTTGTTATCACAACGGGGCATTGGCCCCTCACCAGACCCTAGGTTTCCTCTCAGAGATATTTCGGACGCGACATACAACAGAGCAAACTCATATTCTTGTAAATGAAGTTGTGACTGCTCTTCGCCGAGTCAAGCGCGGCGCTGCGTTCTTTATTGGCAGGCAAGAAAACAAGTTCGCAGTCAGGTAGGAAGAGAGAGAGAGAGAGAGAGAGAGAGAAAAGTAAGTAGATTTGCCATTTATTAAATTGCTGTGGTGAAAAGTGCGAAATGTGTTTTGGTTGGTGTGCCGATTGATGATGATGTCGAAATGGAAATTATATTGAAAMATATTTATATGCACGCACACAGCCACACACATATGTACATGTACAACACATAAATTTGCGTAAATATATTATTGGAAACTAAACTCCTCGTAAGTTAGCTTGATTTATTTTCCTATTCTGCTATTTGTGTTTATTTTGAATGCAAGAATATTTCTTGTGAAACGAAATTTTTGATGAAAATGAAATCCTGCAGTTTTCTGTATTTATTATTTGTTTTTAAAACAATTAATAACCTTAGTTGAAGTTGTTTCTGTGTATTTTTCATTTTCATAGAAATTTGCTTGCAAATGTATGTTTAGTAAAAACATATTTCAGATTATTGCAAAACAATTAAAAAATATTTTTATTGAAAAAAAGCAAAATATATATATTTTTTAAAATATATTTTTTCATATTGTTKCGCATTATTGCTTAAAATTTCTTGCCTTTTCAAATACTGTATATATTTTTTCTGAAAACATTTGTGATTTTTGTACGTATGACTCAACTAATGGTAATTAAGTGCTATATTTTCAGTAATTTTGGGATTTTGCCTTCATATTTTGTATAAYGGCTCGGTCACGTTGGCCAGAAAGTAAAAAAAATGCTAAGTTTGGTGGATATTATAATCTTTCACAAATACAAAATACTGCTTTAATAAGTTAATTCTGATCGGCCCACTTGTATGACGGCTATACGCTATAGTGATCCGAACTAAACATTTTCTTAGGAGACTGTATCGTTGCCTTAGATGATTTATGCCAAATGAAGATATATTTTCAAATAAAAAAATCGTGGCTTATATCCCAGCTATATGCTCTAGTGTTGCGATCTGGAGTATAATCCACCATTGTCTTAAGTAATATGGTATATATGAAATATTTTCCATACAAGGACTGGATTTGGATCCAAAAGTTTGTATGGTAGCCATATTCCGATCTAAACGACTTTTTCGTAGATTGTACCGTTATTTCAGACAATTATCCACGCCAAACTTCGGTAGATTTCTTGGCGMATAAAAAAGTTTTCTACACAAGAACTTGATTTTAATTGATCAATTTGTATGACAGTTGTCAGCTATAGTCATGTGATCTGAAATGTTTCTTCGTAGATTGCATCATTGCATTAGATATTAACCCCTGCCAAATTTTGTGAATATAACTCGTCAAATGAAATGAGGGTTCCACACAAGGACTTCATATTGTTTGTTCAGTTTGTATGGCAGCTAAATGTTATAGTGATGCGATTTTTTCGGAGACTGTATTGTTGTCTTAGACATTAACCCTTACCAAATTTTATCAAGAAATCTCGTTGAACAAAAAAGTTTTCTATAAATCAGCGATTCCGACAAACGAGAAATATTTTGCAAAGAAAAGAAAGAGTGCAAAGTTTTAGGTCGATATCTCGAAAAATGAGCGACTGTCAAAATCAAGAGCCCTTCTGTCTTCAACAGAATATCTGAATGATTTCTAAGTTTAGAGAGCAAAAATAAAAATTTCTGAAGAATTCCTGAATGATTTATGAGTTTAGAAGGCAGAAATATATTTGAAAAAAGTTTACTGTTAAAAGTGTGACATTGAAAATTTTTTTATAAACGCACTCTTTTTTGTATAAATTGGCGTTAAGCCCTTTTAAAGAAAGTTCAAATAAAAATTCAACATGCCGACCAAGCAATATTTTAGAGAAAATTGCTGCCACCAACCAAATTTAAGAACAAAGTTTTTCAATGATGGCATATCCAAATTGCATTTAYTAAATAAATAAACTCAACTTAATAAAAATGTTGACCTCAGCGCCAACTAATTTATGAGTTTTGTTTACAAAATTTTATAATAAGCCAACAAATACATCATATTCACCAAAAATCACCRAAACTCTAAACAAAATATTAAATTACAAAATTTAATTAATTCAAAAAGAATTAATGTTACTCAATTCTATACTGCAACTATCAGTGAATTACAGATATTAATTGCAGGGCAACAGGGCGTATGATTGATCTCTATTGCACTGTATAAATATAATCCAGAAATTACATATATCGAGAAGCGCATAAATTATTATATACCGGTATATATGTATATCTACCGTCATATATATTTTGTATAACTATATATTTACGTATATACTTTTATATATGTATGTTTACTGGCGTTATTAGATAATAATTCAATTATGCAGCTAAAACGCAATTATAATGCAGCTATTGTGCAAACGCAAATGTGGGCRTATAACAAACGTTTATGAGTTTAATCGCCACAATATGTGCGCAGTGTTTTTCCAGTCCAACACACACACATACCAAGTAATAGTAGTAATTTGAATTGTTGCACTGCTTGCACTGCCTGATGATTGATAGTTGATAACTGCTGTCTAGCAAAACTGGTATTTTCACAATTATGCACATCCATTATAACCAAAAATATTACWAACCAAAGGTATRAGCTTGTAAAKTTTTTGAAAGCATACTAATTACAGYAYAATGACCGAGAAGTGAACGTTCGAGAACGTTTTGGCTTAAGTTGTTTTCCGAATATGCGCGTAGATGCATAGTTGAGAACACTACCTGGTTTGTATATTTGTTTATTTTGATATTTATAGTATAGAAGCAATAATTGTTGATAATGTAGTTTTCTATAGATTTGCTGCAAAAACCTTCTGATTTGCTAATAATCAATACTGATGGGTGTGAAAGATGGCATAAGTTTTCAATTTTGCATACTCACACTAGATATGAGAATTTTGAATGAATATATGGAGAAACTGGCAAATCTTCATTTTTCCTTGATAAACAGCATTTGATCGAAATTTTGATTTTTTCGCGTGAATAACCGATTTTTATCTATTTATTAGTGTACATATGTATATGCTTCATAGACTCAAATAGTCTGACCAGTTTATAAAAATAACGCAGAGTACAAGAACCACTTTGATTTTAAAAGTACTCCGTCTAGCTTAAGTGCTAAGATCTTAGAAAAGCTCTGGGTGGTTCGAAGTTAAAACTATTTCAAATAATTTCAAAAAAGAGACGGAGAAACAGTTAGTACATCAAGCAAGAAGTACTTCTTCTAATGGTAATATGTAAGCTACTCTAAACTAAAAACAAAGGCAAGTTGACGCAAAACTAGAAATGCATTCCCAATAGCCGTGGAGCTAGGCATTAGTGCCTCAGCAGGCAACTCCGAACCATAGAAGGGAATGTAAAAACATGATTGGAACACACACTGGTCAAAGTCTAATGGCGCCAGCTACCAGTTCGAGAAGACTGCAGGAATTGTCATGAGCAAGGCACCAGCGAAATAATTCGAGGACTACACAGTGTGAGACATTCGAAGATGTATCGTTAGTGAGGCCACATAGTMTGTTGGAAATCGCGTCAAGCAGGGGGATTCTAAAAGATGACTGCTCTTCATCGACTTCTAAACTAAACTTCATGTGGTATCGCAACGTAACAAAASTGGTATATGCATGGCTCATAATTCATACCAGCCTAACATAAACTGTCTTAAAAATATTGTTTTTTAGAGCTTTCGGGTCAATATGATCCTACATCATAGTCGGCAATTCAATAAGTTTCTGAGGTTTTGAGGTTTCAAGGTTTTAGGGAAAGGCTTTAAGRAAAAAAATAATGATTGGCTACAAAGTTCTTACTTATTTAAACTGTACTATTGATAATTAATATAAGATTTCGAAATGCTTCAAGGAAAGTAACTAAGTTGCTTGTGTGTAACGCGAAAATGTGACTAATGAGAATATTTCTCTAAACATATCAGTCCATAAGGTACAAGTTTCAAGCCATTACAGGAAAACTTTACAGCAAAAAATATTCCCACCTACGCCATATACTCATAGATGATATTAATACAACTATGTATATATAAGCATAMCTCCACACACTAACTCTAACTGAGCCTTAAAATTGTGTACGATATCTCTACCATATTGCACAAATGATTTATACGCTCACCAAAGGAGTCAYAATGCTTCACATCAAACTCACACACACACATATGTATGAATGTGTAGCACAGAATAATTATTATGTCAGTATTAAGCATTATTAATGCAATTTGTTTGCATTATTTTAATGTGCTTGCTATGTAATTACATGTACAATAAGTGTAAGAGTACTCACCGAGATATGTGTCGTGCTGCGGCATGTACTCCTGCATTTCGGCCAGCAGCACAGCTATCTCCTGCGAATCCTTSGTAATGCTGCATAATTCCTCCTGATTGAAGTCGGGTGTTATTTGTTTGCAAAGCAGTATTTGACTGATGACATTGCCGAGATTCGAGGGCCCAGCACGGTTCTCTGTGAAAGGCAAGWGGCAGAGAGTGAGAGAGAGTGAGAGGCGCACAACCATACACGCAAGTAGTAATTAAAATATTATTTTGTTAAATGCATATTGTATGAGGTGCTTCAATGCGTAAATAAAATGAATATTAATGGCGCTATGTGATTGTAAGGAAGTGATTGTGTGTGTAAATTTAAATTATTTTGTTGCCATGGCGTATGAGTAATATTTTCATTGTGTTTATTTGTATTGTTTCACTATTTGCCAGCGCCGTGCTTGTTTACAAACGTGCTTTTCGCATTAATTGTGCAGCAAATAATGTGTTTTCGTAGTTGTTTCTGTTTGATTACAATTTTTTTTTAACCCGCTTGACAGCATATTAAATGTTAAACAGCAGTTATGTATTAAGTCAAAATTATTCAGCAAATATTAAATATGTTTACAATGGAAATCATTAGCAGTTGATTGCGATTCTATTTGATTATTGGGTAAAAATTTAATAATTTTTAATTTAAAAAAATATTTGGTAAGTGTTCTTATTAGCAAAGTGATACAGAGCGCAGAAGAGTTTGGTTTTTGTAACTGTCAAAACTGAAGGTGATACTATAGAAATAGAGTAAATAGTGTAGAGATAAATGGTAGGAGTATCAAATTTGATCCTGATACAGTTAAATATATGTAGTTGAATACAATCAAATCCAATTCGGATTGACAAAAATTTTTCGAAATTTTAATAACAATTTTTATTACTGCCATCCAAGTAGGCTTCGGAGTTAACAGAAGCTTTCCAACTTGCAATCATATTTTCCATACACATGCTCTAAGCCTCGGCTAGGCTGATTTCAGGCCTTGTACTGAATTTTGGTGTTTTTGGTTCTGGCTCACTTTTGGAGCGAAATTTGCTAGATTGTTGTTGGTCAGTTTCACTTTCATATTTAAAAACCTACATGTCGTCACCAATGTATAAGTGCCCAGCTACGTTGCCAAACATGTCATTTACGACCTTTAGTCTCAAAGTCGTTTTGCAAAATATTTAGATATCATGATAGCAGCCTACCACTGACACTCTTCATACAAAAAATATTAACCAAAATGTTTTAAGATGACCCATAATAGATATTGAGATCTAATATTTCTCTAACTTTTTCGACGTTATTGTCATTATCAGTTATGGATTGCCTCTCATTAGGTAAGTTTTCGATTATCCCACGACTTTCCTACAATACTTCGTGCCATTGAAATATTCGGTAGTTGGACGAGTCGTATTTCCAATCGAACTTCAACTTTTTTTTTATATTTATAAGAACAAATAAATAAACAAATTTATTTTAATTTTTTTTTTGTTAAATCAAGCTTAAGCTRGAGAACATCTATTGACAAAATGCGAAAAGACTTTTTTGATACTTGTGTTCGTGATAGACTTCAGAGCCGTAATTTTATTRGAAACAAAAAATTCCAACTCGTTGTTAATTTTTTTCCATTTTCATTTCTTTTCGTCTGGTGAAGAGAAATTTGCTGAACACATACTAATTGACATATAGAGAGATCAAACTTCATACGAATATATAAAGGGTATCCATATAGAAAAAAATTTACGTAATTATCGGTTCGGATTCATTTTTGGATCTGGGGATATTTGTCTGTATTTTCATTAGCCCATCTATCGRTCCAGACAAGAGAAAATTAAGGTAACAACTTGAAGGTTCTGATCTGCAAATGTACTCCCTGATATGAAGATGTGTTCGTAGTGGCGCATGGGCGGATTTGGACCTCCTTGGAATCGAAATTTCAAAAATTTCATACATTTTTGCAGTACTCCATACCTGGTGGCTTTAAAATTTATTAACTAATTTTTTACCATTTGTGAATGGGAACAGTCACATCTTGTTGGCTCTGGTACTTGATTTAAATATTGAATGACGAAAGACTCATAGAGCATTTAAATTTATGTTATATGGAAGTAGACGGACAAACACCAGATCGAAATAATGTTATGTGTCAAATTTGGTTCTAATCTGYCGAGTAGTTGCTAAGATTTCGAAGATCGTCGAAAATATTGTCCAGTTAGCTCATAAACATCATCAAAACTTACTACGTTGACACAGTCTTACACAACAAACAGCTATCAGACCCAATTTATCCGAAAATTGTCGTAACGCAGGGCTAACGTATGTTACTTATATTAACCTTCCTTATTGTTTAGGAAGATGTATTGAAGAAGAGTTATTATGTCTTGAAAATTTCTGGAACATCTCGAAAAACTGCGTTACGCGGATGATATTACTCTCACGGCAGTAAAAAATCAGACTTGTAGAGGTATCTAAATAAGGTTTGCCGAGTATTATGGCGTGGTTGGAATAAAACTCAATGTGGACTAAACCGAATTTGTCTCTAATAACAATGACATCGAATGTGAACAAAGAGATGTCGCAGAAAACAGAATTCTGTTAAGACATTGTCACCCTCAGTAATAAAGCGCGTTGTACATTTGAACAATTAGCTTGCCCAAAAAGCTTTACGAACTTCAGTAGGGCTCCAACTATCGATGCCGCAACGATTCGCATGTATCCGGGTATGTCTGTCGGGTGCAATGCGCACTAGTCCGACGGCAGCATTTGAAGTCATGCTTGAACTTACACCACTTCATCTACTGATCGGTTAGGCAGCCAAATAAACACTTCCAAAAATGACAGCAGAATGGTGTGGCAGACATAAGGTAATATTATTCCAGCGGATGAAAGAGTTAAGTGGGACAATACCATTGGCCTTTCTCCTAAGGACAGCATTAGCAAAAGTATTAGCTTCACTAATAAGTCCAAAGCTACTCTTGGCAGCAAGGCTGAATGGAATAATTTCACTCTCGAGCCATTGCTTAGGGATAGTGCAATGAAGTGATACAGTGACAGTTCAAAAACGTCATAGGGAATCGGTGCAGGGGTCACAGGAACACGCACCAAACTCGCTTTCATTTTAGCCCTACGCTACAACCGTAACCGAAGGAACTACTATATAGTGTTTCGATAATTTTCGGATTGAGAATATAAAAACATATCACAGGATGACAGTTCTGGATAAAGCTAGACCAAATTGTATGAAATGAAAAGAAAAAGACAAAATGTAGTCYCCCTGTAATATCTTTACTACATGAATACTCTTAAGTCTGCCTTATTTGAGCCAGAGAAACTAATTGATAACTATTTATCTTTTTTGAGATTTGTAGCAAATTTATAGAATTTGCTTGTTGAATGCTCATTAAGACAGAAAGCTATATGTACAGTATTAAGGGCTATAACAGAGGAATTCATTATAAAATTGGCGTTTTTTGTGATTTTTTTCTAAAAAAAAAAAGTTCCGCAACTGCTGACATGATTCTGATTAAATGCAAAAATCAAAAAGTTTATTAAAGCTGAAGATATTTCCTATACAATGACCTATGATTTTTGAAAGATATCAAATTTAACAAAATGACGTAGTTCCGGAAAAAGAGTCTTAGTTAGAGTCTTTTAGGTGAGAAAATTGTGTTTTTTTTTAGTGCCAAATTGGAAATTTTCAACCAATCAAAAATATCGTAGATTTATTTACTATACCATGGTAAATATAGTCAAGAACACTCAGTTTCACTTCGGTCAATTTCAMGTTGAGCTATGATGTCAGCAATTTGGATGTCGYTTCGAGAAAAATGCGTTTAAAGTTTTAACTGTCCGATGTATACCTTTGAGSGGTCGCTTTTTAGAATGATGCCATTCAAAAAYTATTCAAGATAAGACCTTGCCGATTTCACTATAGAATTTTTGAAAGTTTAATGCTGGTATATCCCTTCAAATTTAGAAAATATTCTYCTACGATAACACGTGATTCCATTGCAATTATAATCCAGTGACAAACGAAACTGCACACTAAGCGGTGCTTCTAATGAAAACTTCAGTTCACATATAAATTTTCGAAATAATCTTCCAAACTTTACTATCAGTTTACCAATATTTTCACTTGACGCCACAAAATGCCATCGTTAATGCAAAACCGCATGAAATTCAACACTTTTGCACTTCTGAGCGAATACTCGTACAGCAACCAATAATTGTAAATACTTTGCTCGAGAGATATCCACTCAAATCTAACCAAAATTGAATTTTTACGAGCCAACATTTGCCAACTATGCAAAGAGCGCTGCACAAAAATCCAAATTGTTSCAAGTAAYTCGRTTGTGTGTGCATATTTGAGTRCGCGCGCGTGTGAGTGTGTGTGTGTAGTTGTGCTGAAATAGTTTCGGCATTAAATGTAGCAAAATAAGTTTACGCGAATGCAATCTGTGCGCGTGCAAAGCATTTAAATGGCAAGAAAAGTAAAGTTTTCAACGCCACTGCACACGCATACACACACAGTGCGTTACTTGCAAACGACTGCATGTGAATGTGTGTGTGTGTGGCAGTGCACAGTTAACTTAAAATGAGCATCGTTGGAATATGGCGCTGAGTGTATTATATTGCTTGGCGCGCAGCGAGCGCGAGCGCGGGCGAGGAGGACGCACTGCGCAATGAACTTGAAGCAGTTTACTATAATGCTTGCAGCGCGACAASCAATTCAACTAAATAGCAAGTCGGRGGATACTCACAGCCACATTCGCAGCTAGGCATACCCATGCACCGATTCGAATGGTAAACAAACGTTTTTGACACGAGGTCAGTTGGCTGCGACGGTGACTTTTTGAATAGAATACAGTTTTTGAAAAAAAAAAAAAATCGAACAAAACTATGTCACGTGTTTTTCAAATTGCGCTAAAAAAATTTTAAATTTTCTCATTGTAATCGGCGAYCTAGTTGTGCCATTAATTAGAACCAAGAATTGTGCTCAGAGAAATGGAGTAAAGGTTGAGTACTGAAATTTCCTTTTGTTAAGCCTTCTGTGCACCAGAAAYATGGGATTTCATCAGCTGTAAACAGATCACCCTTTGGACGGATTTAGGTAGTTAGAGTGGCTGTCTGATGATGCTCCAAGGCCTTAAGAAGGTCTATTGTGAAAACACCGGAACTAAGATCCTCTCACTCCACTGTCTTTTCTCTGAGCAAGCCCATGCTTCGGTTGTAGTTTCTCAGTATAAAAGTCTTATCTGTGCAACATCCGAAAATGTCTTCAAGAGGTCTTGAAAAGCCTTGAATTCGCAGAGCTGGCTATTTCTGGCTATTTCTCTGCGAATTCAAGGCTTTTCAGGACCTCACAGACATAAAAATTTATTCTTTTCCGAAGTCTCATTTCAGAGTAGTGCTTGCTCGGGCTAGTTCATCTGCTTCTCCGGGGATACCATTTAGTTCTGGAACCCATTGATGGTTTATAATGAAATAGGCTGAAAGATCCACAAAAAAATCAAAGCATTCTTTCACTAACTCTRACGAAACCCTAAGATAATTTAGTTCATTAATTTCAGAGCTAGTCTATCCTTATATATAAATATGTTCCTGGTTGTGAGCGCATTCCTCATTAGTAGAATAAGGTATTATTTAATTTATRTGATCTTCGCTTTGAAGACACTGCAGCGGTCTGGTAGATGGAAGGCGAATTTGATATTTTATTTTTCTGAAAATACAACACTTCTCATTCCYTTATTTAGTCTAGATCGATCCGTATAGATGCCTATCTCTGAGTGCCTACACTTCCTGACTTTTTCCCACTGAGAAGCAATGTTTTAACTAATCCTTTCTTCGTGGAAATTATCGCTTATATATTCCAAACAATATTATATACAAACTAGAATCGATTTCATGTGCTCTTCTGCCTTCTTTAACACCAAAAAACCTGCTCGAAACTATCTCTATTGTACGAGACCCGGAAATTCCCATTAACGTGTAAAGTATTATTAGCTTATGTCCAATCGTGAAATACAGGGATATCCGCCCAGCCTCTGTTGACTATTTATTTAACTGTGTATTGTGCCAGAAGGCTGGGGGGAAGATGTTTYCAAGTTTAAATCTTAATTTATATAYATCTCTGAAAGTATTCWTTTTTCAGCCCTTATAATTKKTTTTGTTAGTTCTCTCGATATTTGTATTTATTTTCCCATAAGTTCTACATTTGATTTCGTGACTCTTATCTTTCTCTCGCGACTATTAAACCACTGTCGAGAGGTTTATATTCTCTCTGCAAGGTTTCGCGAACCCAAAGCAAACGTACGATGTTTGTTGCTAAGAAAGATACAATTTTTGCAAAAATTTGAATTTTGAAATTAATCAAAGTTAAAGATCGAACTCGAAACTAGTACCAACACTTTTATCTTACCATTTTACGTTTTTGGTAACTTATTTCGATCTTTTCGCTCCAGTTCATGTGGCAATTAGCAAAAAATGCGTTATGGAAGTTGTTCACTCTTTGCGGTGAAAATGTTGTAAATTCCTTATTTCATGCAACGTGAAATAATTGTTTCCAAAGAAAAAACCCCACTTTGCAAAGTAATAACCCTAAAGCAGTTGCACATTGCGCTTAGCTAGTGTGAAATAAGTAAAAACGCTTGCAWTGGCAAAAACACTTCAAATAACAAGTTGAAATGAGATCTCCGATTCACACTATCGTAATAATTGTATGCTGCAYGATGTGTTGCTGTAATTCAAGCGCCCGCTTTCAATGAAAAATGTTGCTGCTTTTCTTGTTTTTTGTTTTTGTTTTTGTCTTTTCAATGCAAAGAGCTGACCAAATTTCACAAGAATTTTTCATTTCTCCTAATGTGCAACCAGAAGGCATGTGTGGATGAAAGTTTGCATGACTTTGAGTGCGTGTGTGTGTATTTTTTGTGTGTGTGTCTATATGTGGGGGGAGTGTGTGTGAAAGTGGAGCTTCAATTGCTGTCAGCGGTAATAAAAGTAAGCACCGAAAGCGTTTGAGATTTCCGCTGACAGCTATAAAACTGGCAAAAGGAAAGCAGAGTATAACCACAAAAGTAGGTGTTAAGCAAAGTTTCGATGCGCTTTGAGACAACTACGCAGACATATCCTCATATGAGGTGTGAACTGTGGATAAGCGCAACTTGACGTATGCAATTGCAAAGCTTGTGTGTGTGTGCTGCGTGTTTGTGTATGTTGTTGTATTCACGTAACCACTTACCATAATAACCGGACATGTCCATTGGCACCACCTGTATGAGGCGATAACTTTTTATTAGTTCGTGTAGGAAACGTTGCGCCAGATAGAAGAGCAGCACAAGATGTGGATTATCGGTGAGCACGCCTTCGCTGACAGCGCTATGTGGAGAAGAGGTAGAAAAGGAGAGGGAGAAAAAGGAAAATATTACTTTAAAATTCAGGCTTTAGATATATTTTATGTATCATAGAAATTGTACAAATTTTTGGAATACGGATAYAAAATATATGTATACTTGTATATTTAACTATTTGAACAAATGGCTGCATTAAATCCTTATATGGGCCTAATATACCTTAATGAAATTTTATTTTTAACAGAGATTGCTATATCTCGCTCGCGCGTTGTATTTTTTCTCTTGAGAATTTTATATTTGATTTTTCTGGTTTCTCACAAGTTCTACATTTTTTTGTGAGTCTTATATTTTCAAGTTTTAATTTTTTTCAAGAATTTTATATTTATTTTTGAAAGTTTATGTTTCTTTTCGCTATTTTTAATTTTGGCTCGCGATCTTTATATTTTTCTCACGAGTTTTATAATTTCTCTTGAGTGTTATATTGTATTTTCGTTCTCTAGTTGTATATCAGGCCTAACCAGTTTCATATTGGGTAGTCTAAAAAATATATTCGTATTTTTAATGAGACTTTAATTAATTAATTAATTAATTTTTTTTATACCTATAATGAACTTAAATGGATCCAATATGTACCATTTTAGTCGACTACTGTCCGCCTTTTCTCAGGGCAAAGCTGCGACAAGTAATTTTCACGGTCTTCCCTTGAAGCCAACTTAACTCCATTAAGGGAGTTCTACATTGATCGAAACAAATGGTAGTCCAATAKTGCATGGGCAGGGATATATGGCTGATGATATACTGTTGATGACAGTAGTTGACAGTAAAATGTAAAATCAATCGTTTGTTAACGCTGGAGCAGCTTGAAGTGGATAATTCCTTTCCGATCCCGGCAACCACTCAGCATAACCTTTCGACGCGTTAATTCTGACTTTGCGTCCATTTGTTGAGCTTGGACCATGATCCTTTTCGCACATTATTGTCGTATTTGATTCACTTTCCGTCTGAAATGGTTCGATTTCATTTCGTTTCAACAAAGAATCGCAGATGTCAATCCAGTTTATAATACTTTTTCACAGGCAATTCATGTGGTATCCAAATATCGAGCTTCTCTTTTTAGTCAGCCTTTGTAAATGGTTCAAAACCGTTTGATGATGATGATCCTTAGCGATGTCATGGCAGCTTATGTAATGGTTCTGATCAATCCTTTTCATCATTTCATCGACGTGTTTAACAAAAGTGTATTTTACACAACAACATTTCCAGAACTGAAGCGTGCGAACCATTGTTTTGCTACACAAACTGATACAGCACCTGCAGCAGCATCTTTTGACAAAATACGAAAGACTTTTTCGACTACCCAAAATTAAATTATGCGAGTTGTATTATTTTTATATGTCTCCTGCAATTTTTATGTTTTCTCTGGAAAGCTTTATATTTTTTCTCGTGATTTTTTTATTTYCTCTCGCAAGTTTTATATTTCTTGAGTGTTTTATATTTTTCTCGCCAACTTTATGTTAGCTCTCTGAGGTTTTGTATTTTTGTCGATATTTTCAAATTGGTTTCGCCAGTATTATTATTTTTCCATACTTAATATTTTTCCTATTGGACCCTATAAATTAAAACTGCGTAGTTAGATATTTTAAACTCTAAACCACTTTAATATTAAATTGAACACCACAACCCTTTCACAACATCKTCCAATAACGCTGCGTTTTGGTATTTATGCCAACATATAATAATTAATTGTTGTAACTCGGCGTTGAGTGAGGATGAACATTACCAGGGCAAAATCGCGAAGAGAGTGAGTAGCGGAATTGATTGCTCCATCAGCGCAAAGATGAAAARCAAAGAAGCAATATAATAAATGAGAAAAAATAATAAATAACGAGAACAAGGTACAAAAAACCAATTAGCAGGGAGTACAGTATAGTGAGGAAGAATAAACACATTTTGTAAACAATCTCTTTGAAAGCATTACGCGCGACCTTCGACAATCAATATTATACTCAGGAAAGGGTTTTATGGAAACTTATAGAGTAACAGAGTACAGTAACTACTTGAGTTAARCCAGATCGACCGAGTGGTTAAACACTTTATGAGTATGTATGTAATTTGGTGAGAGCTGGTTAGAGCATTTAGAGTTAGAGAGTGCGAAAGGGGAAGGATGTGGTTTTGTTTAGAGTTTCAACGAACTTGATGGTGCGAAATCGGTCATAAGAGAATTTTTTTTAGTCATTGTTTTTGTTGTTGTAGCGGCAGAAAACATTTCAGAGGAAATTTCGAGCCATGGTGCTAAGTTGACAGTCCGTGGAAACGTCATCTTTTTTCTTTCTATCTGCTGAGTTATATTAGAACTAGCTAGTTGATCTCTATGATATGCACGACAACATCGTTCAATCTATTTTTAAAAGATAATTTATATCTATTTGCATACGTTCTTAAAAGCTAAGAAGTTACGAAACTATGCTACTCATCTTTATATTTTACATTTTTAGATTTAGATAGAGAGCAGACGAAAGAGAAACCTGAATATGCGTGGTTCCGACATTTCTGCCTTCACTATTCAYCGAGAAATGGAACTAAAAACTAGCGTAGCTTGACCTAATAACGTTACGAATATTTGCTGTTTATGCTCGATGCCGTTATAATACCTTATTGTACTAGCAGCCTCAATGTAACCAAAAGTGAAATTAATACTACGGTACAAGAGTATAACACGAAATACCCCAATTATGCACATACACAAAMAGACACACATACATACACATTTTAACTTGCAACTACCACGAAAACTCATTTCACGCACACAAACGCGCTCATACAAAGAAATTCCACAAGAACCCAATAAGATATTCATAATATCGCTCGTAAAGCAATCAAAAGTTGTGGATTTGTAAACAAATGAAATTTTCGCAAGCCACTCAAAAACATACAAACACGATATACATACATAAAATATACATATATGTACACACATAAAATATATATACAAAAKCACCAGAAAACAATATACAAGCGCACATACAAACTATACTTGTATGCGGCATAACGGCATATTGCACTTGTAAAACGGTACATTAATTTTTTATTTTCACACCGATTTGCCGCCAACACATATGCCCAACACATACCATATACCGTTCGTATATATTTTGTGTAATTTTTTCATCATTTTTTGTCTTCTGCTTCATTTCATGCTCGTCCTTGCTGATGCCTTCCGCGTCTCCCGCATTGAGGCATACAAATTGCAAATTAATCTCTTTTTTGCTCGCCGCCACAACGAGCGCTTCTTGAGGCGACCCACTGCCAGCTCGGCTTCCTACAGGCGCACACACACACAGCAATCGACTAAAGTTTTATACAATTTTTCCTTAGCGCCCATACGACTTTCTGTCCTCTTTGCCTTTCCGATTTTGGTTAAATTTTTTTCATCTTCTGCTTTGGCTGAAATTAAATCAGTGCATTTACTTGGCCGCGCAGTACAGGAATTTGTGTAGTGGCGTTGTCGCTGCTTAGCATCAGGTAAAATTGGACGATTTTCCCAAGGCCAGCAGTTTGGTTCTGTTATGCATTCCACGCCTGGGAGTTAAGCCACAAACATAAAAGTTGAAGTGGTTTATAGTGTGAGTGTATACAGTTAATTAGTAAGTAAGTATTCGCTGTAATAGGATCAATGCTGTGGAAATTTATGAGCTTCAAGGAAAATGTTTTAGTGTTGCTGTGACTTATAAACACTTATGTGCGATATGTTATGGCACGTGTTCGACGATAAATTGCATTCCTTTATGCCAGGTGAGAATATAATAGACTCTTTGAAGTATTGAATTGAATTCCGATTTAATATTTATGAAGTGTATGCAATTTCTCTGATATTTATACACTGAACAGAGTAAATTAAGGTTGCTACAAAATTTGTAAGATTAGGCGGAAATGTCTGATGATATCCTATAAAAAAATAAAAAAATAGCAATAAATGATCAGCATGGCGAAATCGACTCACTTTGGATTATGGCACTTTTCGGTCGTTTGCTTCGAAATATATTCAAGGTTTGTGAATTTTTTTCAAAAATAATAATTTTATTGAGCTGTAAGAACCGGAAAATTCTTTTGGAAATAGAGTATGAAAACCGTGGCAAGCCTTTGCCCAATAAAAAATTTTTAATTATTTTCAAAGACTTGTGATACAAAGCAATGATCGGCCCRGGACACAGCCATTTTCTCTATATATAATATATCTATCTATATACATATAAAGTTGAAGAGAGTTCCACCTATCTGGAGTTAGTTGACTAAGGTGTTTTAAATTTCCTCAATAGGAGTGTGACTTTGCTTTGCTTGCGCCTAATTGTAGGCAATAGATATGGTTAGGTTAGGTTTGATGACTGATCCAAAGATCGCGCCTATTTTTAGGCAATAGGTTAGGTTGGGTTTGATGGTTTGATCGCACTTAGCCTACTATATGCAGCGCTTTGTGAAGCTATAAGGGTATAAMWCCAGTAATTCGAGCTTATCAGATASCAAACCGCCTTGGGGCCAAGTCTGCTTAGGCGTTCAAAATATATTCCTAAGTGTTTGAGGCTTAATCTCGTAAATGCGAAATAATCAAGGGGGAAGTGTTTAGATACCTCGTCTTTTTCCATAATACTTCTGCAGCTGGCATACGGTAAGATTTTCAACCATACAGCATGGACGTCGATAGGGAAATGGCCTGATAGAACAGCCATAACTAGGTAGTGCCTAAGCTTAATGAGGGAAAATATCTCTTGAGTTCAATATTGAGCCAAAAAACTTCGGGCGTCACCTGGGATGATTGTAAGAAAACGCTGGCGAAGTTCCCAAGAAGCCCAACGTTGCAGTAATAGAACAAAAGTGGAAAGGAAAATACCGACCCGTTRCCATTCTATTGATAGCGGAGCCAGGGTACCCTTTCTTGCTTATGATTTCCCTATGACATTATGCAATTGATACCGAAGTTAGGTATTCAGTTCTGAATGCACGGTTTGTGAGTTCAAGGCTAATTTCGAA